ACAATTGATAGAAAAAATATATACTTCATCCAAAATTCTATTAATTTTTTTTTCTCATGCTTATAACTTTTTGTTTTTAAAAAAATAAAATGTAATTAATGTAATAATTTAATATAAAATATAAATAAATCGATAAATATAATAAATATAATATAATATAATATTGAGAGCGAGTGTAGCAGAGTAGATAGCGCATTAGCTGCTATGCTAGAGATTCCGATAAAACCTAAATTTTTTCATACACTCGCGTTCTCCTCTCGAAAGGAAGCAGCAACCCATCGAGAGTATCCTTGCCAAGAAACACTTGCAAAGGAACATTTGTCTAAACAAAAACTTCGTTGTTCGGAATTGACGTTAAATTGTAGATCCTATATGAATTGTGTATATCAGCGTGCGCACCATAAGCATATGAGAGAAATTATCACGCTTGAACACGAACAACAGGACTAAAGAAATAATATAATATAATAAATAAGTAAAAGAAATTAATCTAAATCTTATTAAAATAATTCTTTATATAAATTCAAAAATCGATGATCGACTGTTTTAAGTTTTACAAAATTTATGACAAATTTCTTTTTTGAAGAAGAATAATTTTATATATAGAATACTGAATACAAAAGATATTCTGATTTCTTAATAAGATTTTCAAATTGATTTTCAATTGTAAAATATTATAGCGATATATTATATCTCTTTTATTAAAATAAAAATAAAAATTATTTTTTTACTGCAATGACGCGTAATCTTGATAGATTTGTAATCATCCGCAGGTCCTGGATTCAATCTGGACCTTCGTCTCACATACATCTCGATTTTTCGATCCCGAAAAATTACATCCTTTACATTTTAGAGATCGTTATATAAAATTAATAACCTTAAGCTTAGTCTACAATTGCGTAAATATAGTTGTAAGTAGTTGTAGAAGTGCATCAATCACTGTCAAATACGAGAAGAATATTCGACTGTGATTGGTCAATTCTTATAACTACGTTACAACTACGCTTTCGCAATTGTAAAATAAGCTTTACATTTGTGAAAACTAAACTCAGTAAAATTCGAAAAACTGTAGGGACGTTGAACAACGATGGAAAGATCTTTTATAATTAAACTGACACACACACACACACACACACACACACACACACACACACGCACACACATATATATATTCCCAGTATGCTAGTTTTATACGTTTTTTAAACGTTTGTAGAATTAGATACATTTAGAAAATGTATATAAAATGTATATATGTATATATATGTATTTATATATATATATATATATATATATATATATATATCGATATATTTATCGCAATACTTCTTTTTCAATACAAATATAAATCTAAAAAATTTTTATATCACATGCGAAGAATGATATAAATTTTTGAGTTCTCCTTTTTAGTTTCAGTTATTTTTTAAATTTGAATTAATTTATTTATTAGCTAATTTATGTCTTATATTAAATAATTTATAATTTTGTCCGATGTCTCCAGATATTCAATCTCATTCGCACTCACCTAGTTTTCCTTACTTCTCAATTAAACTAAACAGACGATTCTCGCACGCTCGAGCTATGTTCTGGATTATGAGCCGGATCTCTGTATCGTGCGACAGCTCTTGCAATACTGACCAAGAACTCAATCCACCTACATCGATCATGCTATACATAAGTCGATGTCTAGTGTACTATTAATGCGAAATACGTTTTTAACTTTACGCATCAACATAAAATCAAATAAACCAGATTGAATCGGCTCATTTTTTTGAATATTTTAAGAATGGTTGTCTAGACATACAGAAGAGAAATTATAATAAATATTTATCACTTATCATTTTTTGAAATATCACATAAATATTTTGTCCATATTTTATATAAAACTTTATTCGAAATATTATTAAAATATAGACTAAATATTTTATGTAATATTTATGATAAATACAAATAAATAATTCTAATAAGTATTTTTTACGTGGATTATAATATCTTATTGAGTATTTTTATAGCATTTACTACAACATTTATAACAAATATTTCATAATATTTATAATAAATATTTATGATCTATATGCGATCTATATATAAGACACAAAAATATTTACAAAATATTTAAAATAAGTTTTATTAATATTTACAAAAATGTTTTGTAAATATTTTATAATATTGTGTGCTATTTCAGGATATTATAATGATTAAATTACAATTAATAGGTTTATAATAGACATTATGATTTCAATTATTTTCGAAATTTTCATATATTTTCATAGAGTATATGTTGTTCAATCTCGCTCTGTTTTTGCAGCTGAGTCGGTACACAATTTTTTTGTTCAACCGGTTATGATATTTTTACTTTTTACATAACTGCATAATTAATAATAAAAGATTATAAGTTATAAAACGAGATTTGCATTTTTAGTTAAAATTATTCAGCTTTTAAAAACTTAATTTATGAGTATATACCAGTCAAGAAATGCACAAACGTAACCATGAATATGTATTGCTGTGTCGTACTTCAAATTTCTAACTCATTAATTTTTATATGTAATAATTTATGATTGTGCATACTAATATTTATAAGAAGATGAAAAAATATCGACTGATAAAAAAGTTATTACTTATAAATCAGAGAAACAAAAATAAAAATGTATATTTGTATAATTGTATAATTAATCATATGGTTGTGAATAGTTAAGATATGTATAACCGAAATCAGAACGTACCTAATTATTCTAAAATTTTTATTATAGTATTTATATAAAATTTTATATTCTTAGATATTTATCATTATTATTTTTATCAATTTTTATTTAATATTTAATATTATATAATATTATATCGAATTAAAAATATGATTTTTGAGAAAAAAATCAGAATATTTTCAAAATTATCAAAAATAGAATTAAATATTAATATTGGATAGAGTTCGGGATGTTTTTTATGTTTATGTATATATGTATATGTAGGAAAATATCTAGGAATAAATTTTTTAAATAGCTATCAGGTAACAAACAGAATAAAAATTTTAGAATAATTAGGTACGTTCTGATTTCGGTTATACATATCTTAACTATTCACAACCATATGATTAATTATACAATTATACAAGTATACATTTTTATTTTTGTTTCTCTGATTTATAAGTAATAACTTTTTTATCAGTCGATGTTTTTTCATCTTCTTATAAATATTAGTACGCACAATCATAAATTATTACATATAACATGCTATTATATATTAAAATGAGATCTAATTTCCTTGTAATTAGCATTTGTATTCTTAATTATTATTTATGAAATAGTTAATAGAGTTGCCTCATTTATACAGTATGCTCGCAAATATAAACCAATAACTGGCCTTTGATCTGAATGATTATAATATACTTGGTCTTTAGAGTGTCCTTGATTTTACATAATGCGACTTACTAGTTTGCCAATAAACTATAATAGTAGTCCTCCGAATAGGATGTTTAGTTAGCCTTAACTGTACATACTATATGTATTTGGATCATTATTGGTGATACTAATTTCATAAAAGGGAAATAGTTTATCTATATAATGGGGAAAGGATAATAAATAGTAGAATAGAAATATTTGAAATAATTAGCAAGATCAGTTATTGCTCAACTCGCACGGTCAATAACTCAGCCGATCTATTTATACAGGGTGGGCCATCTATTGGTACGTTTTTAAAAATGCGATCAAATGAGCATACATTGATATTTTTTATTAATTTTTTTTTGTTGTGAAGCTAAAAGTATCCGCGTCAAGAATGAAAAACGATTTCGTTCATGTGGCTCCCTCTACTGGCCTTACAGTATGCCATTCGGTCACCCCAATTATTAATGACATTTTGGACTACCTCGGCGCCAATTTCACTCAAAACAGTCGTAATATAATGTCATCCACTAACATCCCTTTCTCACGAACTTTCCTCACCAATTTGCGTATAGCTCCTTCGGTGGGTGCTCTATCACGACCCATATTTCTTTTCAAAATTCGTACAGTTTCGGCGACACAGCACTGACTTTGAAAATAAGTTTTTAAAATTTCAAAACGCTCTTCAAGAGAAAACATGTTGTTTCGTGCCGCGGACGGTATGACTAATAAACTGTCAAAATTTCGGGTCTGTAGCTCGTTCGGTGTTGCCATACGACGAAATTCAAAAACGTACCAATAGATGGCCCACCCTGTACAAAGTTAGTTCCAACTAACGTTAAATATACATAGAAAGTTTGATTCATATTTTCAATGTGCTGAATATTCCGGCCCAGTGAAAGGATTGTCACAAAATACACAAATGTCAATGAAATGTTCAAAATATTATATGAATACCCCTTGTATATATCATGAAAATCGCGAGCGAGCAGTATTTCCAACAGAAGACCGCGGAGGAGAGCATTTACTCGTTAAGGGAATGCTGGAGCGAAGTTCAAAGTCGATATTACAGATTTTCATTTCCAATGTATAAGATGCTTACGCCCTCTGAGTTAATATGATCATGCAGAAAATTCGATCGATTAATTATCGATATTTTTATTCCGTTTCCTAACATCTTAGCAGGGACGAAAACGTGTATTAGGGTCGGTTCCACAAATGTAAGATTTATTTTATTTTGGAACATTTTCCAATTTTAGAATTGAGAAAAAAATAAACCGTAATTGAAGTTAATCTTATATTTGTAGAATCGGGCCTTAGAAATATTGTTCTGTGTGCTATATTTTTTGTTTAGCTAAAATGATTTGCAAAAATCGAGCCTTGGATTTTAGATTAATAATTCAAGTCATAACAAGTGCTAATTAAAAGAAAGTTAGATCATCATTTCAATATATGATATTTGGTTATTGTTTCTGCATATTAATATTTAAAAAAAAATGAAAAAATTATATCAATTGTATCAATTATATCAATTATAATCATCATTACTTACAAATCAGCTAGTACAATCAGATAGTAAAATAATCAAATAGTAAAATAAATTATTGATTAATTCTCTTATGCTTCATGCAGCATTATGTAAAAACTTGTGCGACTTTAGGAATACAACAACCACCTAGCCAGGGCTATCGACTGTGTTCAAAACTCGAAGATCCAGATATCATTTTATCCTTGTTTAATATTCGGTAAGAGAGAGAGAAAGAGAGAGAGAGTTACAGAGATATAAATAATACTTTAAATACTTAAACCTCTACTAATCAAAATTCGACTAAATTGTTACGTTCAGAAACTAGGAAATGCTATAAGAATCTTCCGTATATGTAACGTGAACTGTTCAGTTTTGCTGTAAATTATTATAATAACTCCCTCTCTCTCCTCCCTCTCTCCCTCTCTCCCCCTCTCTCCCTTTCCCTCTTTCTCTCTCTTTCTTACGCAGTAAGAATCATCTCAACCATTGTATCTTCTGAAAATGAACGTAACTCTTATTGAAGAAATCGAGAATTGGACCTGCCCGCACGATTTCTTATTAAATGAATCAATCTACTTTAAAAATCAAAGCAATTGAAGAATCAATTTTCTGATTTTCGAAAATCTATTTTTAAAATCAGAATCACATCCATGTTGAAATGTATTTGATGTCTTAGATATCAATTTGTTGATCAACATACTATATGACTAGATGGACTAATTCTTAATCAGTCTTACAAAAGCTGTCGTGCGATACGGAGCGATACGGCCGGAGTAATCTATACATATTTTAAGCACACACGTAGAGGAAGTGTTTAGAGTCTTAGATAATTAAAAAGCGAGAAAGGTAAAGTGAATGCATACGAGAGTAAATATCTGAAACAATTGAGTAAAATTTTTATTTAATATAAGATGTAAAATGATTTGATAAACCTATTAACTAAAATTTAAAAAATAACTGAAACTACAAAAGAAACTAAGTACTAACAAACTACAAAAGAAAAGAAGTAACAATATAATAATCTTTTTTATTGTATATTGTTTTTCGTACGTAACATAAAAATTTCTAAATTTGTTTTATTAAATATGAAAAGAATTAATGCAATAAAGATATATACAGGATAAACCAGAGTCATTGAACCAGCGTTTTACTCTATGAGAAAATTATCGCACGTTATCATCCAATAAGTCGGAAATTAATTCGATAATTTTCTCATAGGATAAAAAGTTGGTTCAATGACTCTGATTCACCCTGTATATGTGTGCGTGCGTGTGTGTGTGTGTGTGTGAAGGAAAAGATTATAATGTGAGAGACCCCGTTTTATTTATTTTTTTTTAATTTTGTATAGTTATATAATGATCGAGTTGTTAGATTAACAAGACAATAAAGATGAAAGAATCATACGTGTTCTATTTCTTTAATAATAAGCATGCACATACGCTGCCATGCTTGGTTTGATGCATACAGTCTCTCCGTTTACAAAAAACTATAAAATTAGCAATTATTTCTTTTGATTAATACATGCAAGGAAATATATATAAGCTACGAAGTAATTCATAATAAATATAAAAATCATGTATATGCAGCAGGCAGCGTTCAATGCATGAACGAATTCTAGCATACATCAGAGCAGGCATGATTGTATGCATGCTATCATTCAAGAAATCGAACATCGTGATTCCATCTTAAGAGTAAATAATGATATCGAATAAATAATGATATCAAATAAATTATAATCAAATAATTTATAATCTGAATTTAATATATAAAACACATTTAAAGTAATTAAAGGAATCCTAAAGCGAAGCACGAACTCCGACGAAGTCACCAAAAGTCGCTGTTTTTCCATTATCTCCATGTCTTTAAAGGATGCGTTCCGAGTTTCGCATGAACCGCATGCATCATTTATCCTTGTAGTTCATCAAATAATAAAGAAAAATAAAACGGTACACCATGCACTTTATGTAATTCGGAACGCACCCATATACTACTTAATACCACACCATCTCACGCACCTATGATACACGTAGTCGCATGTCGTGTCAATTTTCATGTAAAAAATTTGTCTCGAAAACATCTAACAATAAATATAATTCTAAGAACTCGACGTTATTTGTTCGTGCAAACTATGTGTTTATAGATTACTATTTCATAAGTACAGGTTGCAAAACTTTTATATCAAACAAATGTTGTCACGACTTGACAGCTTGAGAGAGACGCTATATTACATTAACAATAGAAGAAATGATAAAAAATATTTCAATTTCGAAATTTTTAGTCATTCTTGGCGTAAACTCCATCTCACAAACACGTATTAATGCGTATACTTTAAAAATCCTGGAAAAGAATTTTCGAATCTGTGAAAGAGAAAAAAAGTATTTGTTATACAAAAATTATATGATTAATTCTTGGTTTATGCTTCGGTCTTAACTCTAAAATCCTAAACCAATAGGGCTGCCAGTCCTAATTAGTTCTAACTGAAATCTGTATTCCATTGGCTGAATTTTAGGGTTAAGGCTAAAGCATAAACCAAACATTAGTCGATAATACAGACAATTTAGGATTCCCTTAAGACAATTTTTAAAATGGAAAAAAATTGTTTAAATAAAAAGAAACGTTATGATGTGACTATTTGAATATGATGATAAAGTAAGTTTTATCCATTATATTTTTACAGAATCTAATTTCTTTAGATCTATTTGGACTTTCCATGAAATATAATAATTAAATGTAAATTTTGTTTCTATTAGCTTCTTTTAACAAGCGGATAACGTGAATTTCAGTATTATTTTTAACGAAAAATATTACAAAGAATTGTTTTATATTAAAAATCTTTGTGGTTATTATTTAAAAATGATTTTCAGAAGTCCTGAAAAGTACCTGCGAAGTGATATACTGATAAATACACTTATGATCAATGCAAAAGTACTGCTAAGAAAACGTGTTCATGAAAAAAAGGAAACTTCTGAATATATAAAATATTTAAATCTGATAATATATATTTCAATATATTCAGAATAATTTTTTTGAATTTAAGCTACTTAGACTTCATGAAAAGTATCATGAAGAGTCCAAACATTTGACTGAAGTTTGCGCTCATTAATATTATTGCATGCGCGGCTCATGAACAAATGATTATAGCTATATTCTGATGTAAGATCTGTTTTTTATTCCTGCACACTTTGAACTGTTGCATACAGTTCAATAAATTAAAGGGAAATAAAAAAATATATTTGTTTCACTTCAACTTATTGCATTGTGTACACTAGTTCAGAGATTGCAGAAATAAAGAATAGACCTATACGTTGCCTATACGCTATAGTACTGAAAATCTACGGTACACGTAATATGAACTATACAATGAAACAAAAATCTTTGATATTTGTAACTATAATCACATATTACTATAATTATGATTATTACTACTGCTACAATATTAGTAATATCATATGCAACAAATGTGTATAGTTGGGAAGCAACATAAATGACTATAATTATAATTATTATAGTCATAATATGAATTATATTAGGTGTTGGAATTAATTCGTAGCGTTTTACAAGTGATGGGAAGTACTTTCATTAATGTATTTTTTAATGCTCATGTGAAATAAATAACATTCTTTCATTAAAAAACGCTACGAATTAATTCCAACACCTAATAACTATATATATATATAAAATAAAGTTGTCCCAAATTTCTTATGTCAGAAGCATCTTCTTTCAGGATAATTTTAATAAGGGATACGAAAACTCTCCTCAAAACGTAGCAAATTGTAGCATTACATAAAATATATAATCTTTTTGCTTACAAATTGTTTAAAAAATATTTCTTTGTAAATTCAAATCTCTGTAAGTCTCCTTTCAGAATATAAATATTATTTTTTTTATTCATACTTTTAATTAATTTTTTCATTAAAAATGTTCTCCAACTATCTATCACAGATGACTACTGATATTACTTAACTATCTATTACAGATGACTACTGATATTACTTAAAAAATTCATTTCTTAAAAAGTTTCTACGTAAAATGTAGACATATTAAGAAAATATGCCATAAAACAGAAAATAATATAAACTTTTCATTATCAACATTTGGAAGTTTGAATAAACAGAAGGAATGAATTCTGTTTCATGTTAAATTATTTTTTAAGCAATCCTATATTTTTTTTCATAAATTTTTGCGTTAAACTTAAATTTTTAATTTTAAAACGAATTATTTTAATGAATTTTTTTGCGAGTGATTTTATCTAGTATTCTGAAGAAATGAATTTTCTTTTAAAGAATTTATTATAACATTTAGATATCTAAATAAGTTTATGCTCAAAATAAAAGAAAATATAATAAATTATAATATGCTATGTTTTGACGAGAGTTCTTGTATCCCTTGTTGAAATTTTCCTGGAAGAAAATGGCAGAAGGAATATGATTTTTAAAAATTGTAAAAAATTTGTTCCTATTATTTGATGTGTGAGAATATTGTGCGATGGCGGCGAAGTCAGCGACATAGCGGCGGAACGTTTACGCACACTAATAAATGTGCGACTCATAAACGTACGTCCGTTTAAAAAATGGCGCCCATTGGATTAGCTTTACTTCATAATAATTGCTTCATAAAGCATTGTAGAAAAAAATGACTCAGGACATTTCGACTCAATTTTAGACCAGGATTAGCACTATATATTTAATGTCCGTTATTTAAGAAACACCCTGCATAATTATTATTACTAATATTATAGTAGTAATAATATAATTTTAATAATTTTAAATAATTATTAATAGTAATTTTTAAGAGAATAAAAGTTCAAATATGAGCTAGTTCAATCTACGTTTAGATAGTTATCTCTTCATGAGTCGCACATGAGATAATATAAAGCTAAAAATACATGATGCTCGATTTTTTTAATGATATGCCTGCTCTGATGCATGGAATATAACGTTTATATATTAAGCGCGGCATGTCGATGTGCATGACTTCTGCATTTATTATGTATTACTTCATAGCTTGTTTCTTTGCATGTTTCTTCCAATCAAAAGATTAAAAACTGTCACGTGGTCAGGCAGGCGATTGACTGCGATTGACTGCGATTGACAGCATCTTCAGAACAGAAATTGTGTTAATTTCGTAGTTATCTGTCAAACGGCATGCATCAAAGCAAGCATAGTATCATACACACAATGCCTTTAATTCAAAAAGTCGAGCATCGCGTGTAATTCTAGCGCTGCGTAAGCCCGCATTTCAGCGTGTTCACAGGTAACCATCTAAACATAATTTATAATGGACTATTTAAAACCTTATATCTCAGAAACTATTACTTAAAATAAAAAACTACAATTAACTTTTTAATTTAAATGTTTTAATTTAAATGTTTTCTTGCTGTAGTATATTTAATCGAATTTTAGAAACTTTTCTATGTATGTATAGATATACATTGGTTTATAACGTGTTTCGCTTCTTTAATGATTATAGCTTCTTTAAGCTTTTTATTATTAAGTCACGCTTGATATTCCTATTATACATTATTTATATGTTTATGTAATAGAATAATAATTATGCAAACATATTATGCAACAAACGTTTCGATCTTTTTATGTCAGATCCTCTTCAGATCTGATAAAACTTAACGCAACTATTTTACATATCAAATTTTTCTTGAGATTGATATCATAACGAGATTACTACGCTTCGCACATTTACAAATACACATTTACATTAACAAGATTGTGGAATATTCAAGCGTAGCATTTTAAACTTTATGCTGTTATTACATTGACACTAGGTTACATACACTAAGTTTTCCACAAGGGATGGATAATTTAATTGGCCATTTATAAATGTGCATAGTA